TAGATTGTGGTTCTCTGACAGCTTCAGGAGGAATCAAAAGGAGATAGGTTCTCTGCCTTTCTAGGGTGGCAAAAAGGACTTCTTTGTGAGGGCTTCTCCGCCTAGCCGTGGGGGCTAAAGGAGAGACATATTTTGTAGTGCAATACTTGGAGGGTGCCTCCAAGGAGTGGACGTAGGTCAAGTTGACCGAACCACTATAACTTTCTATGTTATTGTTTTCTTGCTTTCGCACTTCAAATTTCCGCGTTGTTTTTATCTTGTGGTGTGATTTGGTTTTGATTTGTGATCTTATTGCTTTTGTTGAAAATAAATTTTAAAATACCAATTCACCCCCCCTCCTCTTGGTTAGCTTGGGCCAGTTCTATAGGGCTTAACATCCCTAACAAAGTTTCACATGTGAAGCGCCCCCTTCAGGGGGGCGATTTTACATATATATATATTTTAACCGTGCACCATTTTATTTTTTTTTATATAAGGAGCTGCCCCTATCAATTTTTTTTTGGGGCCCGCCGATTTTTTTTTTTAATTCTAAATAGATTCTGGGAAATTTCGAAAGCTTCTTTTCTTTAAAAAATTTCCTATAAATACCCCCCTTGGGCTATGGCAAAATTTTCTCCTTTCCCCCTTCTTTCTTTCTCTAACTTTCTTATAGTTGAGGATTCTCTACTTTTTTTTGTAGGTGACTTTCTCTATGCAAAATCAGTGCCTCTCTCCTTTGTGTAGAAGTTGAACTTTTTGGAGTTGTTTTTTTTTTCTCCTCACTCGTTCTAACTTTCTAACAGTGGAGACATTCCAATATTTTTCTTAGGTGACTTTCCCTACGCAAAATCAGTGTCCCTCTCCTTATGTTGAAGTTAGACTTTTTGGAGTCGTTTGTTTTTTTTTCTCATCCCTCGTTCTAACTTTCAAACAATGGAGGCATTTCAATATTTTTCGTAGGTGACTTTTCTTATGCAAAATCGGTGCTCTCTTCTTGTGTAGAAGTTAGAATTTTTCAGCCTTTCGACTTTCTTTCTCTCCCAATTTCTTCTTACTCTAGAGGCATTCCACTGTCGTAGATAGACGATATTCTCCTATCAAGCTTCAGTGCCCCTCTTTTGTGTAGAAAAAATTTTTCTTCCTCTTTTTTTTTTTTTTCTTTTCTCCCTCAGGTTGAGGTGTTCCCTGATTCCTGTTCAAGTCTAGGACCGCTCACTAAGGAGGAGTCTCCTTCGAGAGATCTTACGGTAAGGGGAAAACTAATGATTGTCAGCATACTGTTGGAAGTTTGATGAAAGTCCCTTGATGGACAAAAGTCCAGCGACGAGAGGAAATTCAGCATCTGGAAAATTCTGCATATTGTTGGAAGTTTGATGAAAGTCTCATAATAGACAAAAGTCTAGCGACGGGAGGAAATTCAGTATTAGGTAGAATTCTGACAAAAGTCTCGTGACGTGTATAAGTTCAACGATGGGAGGAGAATTTTGATGATGTTTAAGCAGAATTTCATCAATGATGGATGATCGAGTAGAAGTTCATTGGCAGTCAACGGTCGAGTGGGGAGTTGAAGAAGAGAGTTGGAGGATGTGCTACTAGCAGTATTCTAGCGAGAAGCCGATGATGGTTGATATGAAGCAAAGGACCACCGACAAACATCAGATGAAGAGAAGATGATGGCGGGTGTCCAGTGACATTTTGCTAAGGCAATATGCATCTATACTGAAGTGTGACAACATCAGATATCATTGATTCAAGGGGGTTAAAGCAGTGTGTTATACAATCATTTTGACAGCACACTAATACTGCTTACTGAGTGGAGGCCTGATGAGGATGAAATTGTAATATTTCTTTGAAAAAGAAGTTATAGGAAATGCATTGATGTGCAGTAGAGAATAAGTCACTTAAAATCCACTAAGGATATTTGACTATTTTGAAGTTGCTTGATGATTGTAACTTGTACGGTTGATGCTAATGTATTTTTTTAATTTTAGATTCTTGCAGAAATGAACTTCTTGTATAATTTTTGCAATATAACTCTAATGATATTGTATATGAAGTTGAGAACTTGTCATTTAGAGCAAGCTAAATTGTTTATGCATCTTTGAGTCATGCTTTGATATATTGCATAATATACATTTTTAAGGCTTTTTAGTCTCTTAAAAATCTTCATATGAGTGGTGATTTTATCAACCACTTGCTTTCATGAAATCTTTATAGAGAGAATGTTGTTCACTTAGAGTACTACTCGATCTCTATAGAAGAGATCGAGAGAATCCATCAAGCATGTAAGACCTATCCAAGATTGTATGTCAGAGCCTTTGCTCGACGACGGTAACCTGTGTGGAAGAGGTCGAGATAATCCACCAAGGATGTAAGACCTATCCAATATTGTATGTTAGAGCCATGCTCGATGATGTTAACCTATGTGGAAGATGTCAGGATAATCCACCAATGATGTAAGACATATCCGAGGTTGTATGTTAGAGCACTACTCGATGATATTAACCTGTGTGGAAGAGGTTGATAGAATCCACCAAAAATGTAAGACATATTCGAGATTGTATGTCAGGACCCTGCTCGATGATGTTAATTTGTGTGGAAGAGGATGGAAGAATCCACCAATGATGTAAGACCTATCAAATATTGTATGTTAGAGTACTGCTCGATAATGTTAACATGTGTGGAAGATATCAAATCAAATTCCCCATGGAATTGATTTTGCCTTGTTTGGGAGGGGCGAACGACACGTGTATTCCAAATCAAAGGTGAATAATGATATATCTTTAGACCATTAATGTCTTTTTGAGGTCGAGATTAAGACCTTACCCAAAGAGTAGAAGTCTAGAAAGGAATTGTGTAAAGCTTATAATTGATTGGAAGTATCCTTGCATTTGCTGGGATTTTTCTGAAATATCATCTAGATTTTGGAGGATCTTTTTAACTGCGGTTGGAGTCAAATTTGCCCCACTGTCCGCATCTAATTCTTATGAAATTGATACACCAATGGCTAATAATAGGATGTTGATACGAGCGAACGTTTGAGATTGGAGCAATAGTTTCCCCTAGTGAGGAACAACATTCCCACAGACGTCGCCAAACTGTTGCGTCCTGGAGTATTCACGGCGATAGAGAAATATAATATTTAACAACTTAGCGTTGTACGAAAATTAGGCATGCAATTATATATGAGAGAGGGTGTATCATTTATGAGACAAATATTTTTACATAGAAAACCCCTAAAAAGGGGGAAAAACCACATGACCTAGTCGGTGTTTAAATGAATCCACTAATATTTGCAGTTGATTACAAATGAGGCCTTCCTTGGGAAAATGCCTTAGCTTAATGTACATCTTATAGAGTACATTAAATGATGAGAATAAAAAGAATCACTGCTGATGTGTTTGTTTAATCTGAAAGATTATAGTCGATGGGCGACGTAAATCGAAAGGACCGTAGTCGACGGGCGCGGAGGTCAGAAGGACTGTACTCGGTGGGCGACGTAAGTTAGAGAGACCGTAGTCGACAGGCGACGAAGGTCAGAAGGACTGTAGTCGGTGGGCAACGTAAGTCAGAGGGACCATAGTTGGTGGGCGATAGAGGTCAGAAGGATTGTAGTTGGTGGGCAACGTAAGTTAGAGGGACTGTAGTCGGCGGGCGACGGAAGTCGGAAGGACTGCATCAGGTAGAAATCCAACAATGAACATAAATCCAATATTAGATAGATGTTTGGTAAAAGTCTGACAACAGGCAAAAGTCCGGCATCGGGTAAAAACTTAGCGACGAGCGGAGGTTCGACGTCAGGTAGAAGTCCGACATCAATTGGCGGCCGAGGAGAACTCCGGAGTTAGATGATATTCGAGCATAACTCCATCATCACTTGGAGTTCAGGTGAAACTCCGACGTCACTTGGAGGTCGGGAGGAATTTCGGTGTCACTTGGAGGTTGGGCGGAATTTCGACGTCACTTGGAGTTCAGATAGAACTTCAGCATCACTTGAAGGTTGGACAAAACTCATGCGTCACTTGGAGTTCGGGTGAAACTCCGACGTCACTTAGAGGTCGGGCTGAATTCCGGCGTCACTTGGAGGTTGGGCGGAATTCTGACGTCACTCGGAGGTCGGGTGGAATTTCGGCGTCACTTGGAAGTGGGACGGAACTCCAACGGTGGTCGAGGAGGAGTTTCTTCCATCCTATTCTTCTCTTATCCTCCCCCTCTTCTTCTTCTTCTTCTTCTTCTTGCTTGGGTTCCCTCTCAAGAGAAATGAGGGGATATTTATAATTTTTTTAGGATGACATGACCTGTAAATAGAAGGAGGATCAAGGGCAAATTTGGAGTGATTTTTATGGACGGTCGATATTGAATCACTTAATCGTGGATCATTTGTCAGATATTTGAATGTCTTAATGATATCAGAATTCAACGATCTTGGGCTTGTTGGATTCGTCTCGTTGATCCGCTAGATTCGACTATAAGCATGTCAAGTTTGGAAATCGTTTGGTAATCCAAATTATGGGTTGGACATTCCAAAAGCGCTTTGGGTCTTCGAATCAGACTCATTTGGGCTCAAATCAAGCTGAATTTGGTGTTGTTGGGTTCATAATTCCGAGGTGATCAGTTCGATTGTAAGTTTACTAAAATCAAAGTTCAGATGATCCCATATTTAATTTTTGAAGTTTATAACTTGATTTTTGCCTTGAGATTCGTGCCCGATCAAGATAATTTTTTGATGATAAAACATGAGTAAAATAAATAAATTATATATTAATTTTCAAGTTCATAAATAAAATATTTTATATGTAATTCGGTTACATCAAAATTGGCTAATTTCTCAAAATATATACATTTGACTCACTTTTCCATCCAAAACTTACCGACCATATCGCCCCTTATTGGAAAACAGAGCAATTTATTTACTTTTTAATTACTAATTATATTAATTAAAGGAGGTGGGGCCTGCAGTGTTATCCGGACGCAAAATTGTTTTAAATACGGCGGAAGACAAAGCAGACACGTCCGTTCTTCCCTTCCTGACTCGTGCTTTCGTTTTCTCGCTCTTTTTTACCTCTTTTCTTTTCGCTCTCCTCCAATCATATATTCCCTTTCCCTTTCTTTACACCTTCACGGAAAAGAGAAGAAGAGAGCAGCAATTCTCAAGTTCCAAGGAAGAGGAAGGAAGAGCAGCTGTATACTTCGATATTCCTCTCAATTGCAGTATTTCCGTGTAGATTCTTATTTGGAAAGATATTGTTGATTTCTTTTTGCTGATTCCGTGGATTTTCCTCATCTTTTGAAGGTGTTAATTGTTGTCGATTGATTGTTCTGTAACAGGTGAGTGTTGATTAGGTCTCGTGGCGATGTCAGATTATTTTTCTCTTGTTTTTGTCTGCTCGATAGTGGAATCTTTTTCTTGATTGATGCTGCGTGACACTGCGTTATGGGAGTGATTGTTTTCAATTTGTATTTTGACGTCTAGTTCCTTTAGATATCAATTCCTTCGTCAGAGTGCTCGCCTAGTGAACGGTGATATTAATTTTTCTAACCCTGGAAAATGGTGCACAGCAGTTGGATGAGTTGTTTATTTTCAGGGCGTTTTTGGGATTAATGTTTTCATTTTATCTTTTTTGCAAAGAAGTCGTCTTGCGTGGAATCGATGGACGGCCGGCCGGCTTGTTTACCGTTTTGGTGACTGGGATGATGGAATCGATGTGTTCTACTTATTTCCCGGCAGCTGGTTACCGTACCAGTTTCTGTGAATAGATATATCATATCTATTATTTTCTTGACTTCTATTTCGTGTTTTTTGTGGCTCTACGAAGATATGAAATTGATGTTATTGCCAAATAAACCGTGCGACTGATTTATTATCTTCTAGAGGATTTTGCTTTAGCCTGTGAATACAGAGTCTTTAGGAGCATGTTCTGTTGGCAATTTGAAACGGAAGATGTGATGTTTTTGGGATAGTTTATTATCCGTTGCGTGGATTTCTTGTAAGTAATTTTAGTTGCTTTCAAGGATTATCTTTTTTCATTTTCATTTGCATCCTTTGATTCTGTTGTCACAGCTATAATGGGCATAAATCTCTATTTTCATCTTTCATCCCGGTTAGATACACAGCCTTGTCTACTCGGTTGTTTATGCACTTGTACCTCCACCGGTAACAACTTTCATGAAGTTTTTTTGGCGTAGTAGTACCAAACAGCAGCAGCTAACAGGAAAATGGAAAAAAAAGGAAAAAAAGAGATAGCCGGTAGAAAGTATGCATAATTGTAATAGAAGTTATCATCATCATCTTCTTCCTTCGTCTTCCTCGCTATATGTATTCCTGTATTACCCTATCACTATATCAGTTCATACAATGCGGAAGTTAGAATGTACTAAGATAACCAGAAAATGACATTAAGTTGTAATATAAACTAGTGGGAATGTCAGAAAGATAATATTAGAGGTAGAATGCCTTTCTCTCTTTAAAATGCTCCACATTAGTCCTCCCATGCATCAGAAGAGCTGTTGCGAATTGAACCAGTGGGGCCAAAAAGTTCATTTGCGGTGGGGGGGGGGGTGATTAGCATAAATATTAGAATTTTAAAGGCTGAAGGTGTGTTAATATGAGGTGGGAGCTCCATGACATAGGCATTATCATTTATGCGCCGGAGAATTGGAACATGACCAATTTTGCAAGGACATAATTTGGAATATGTGCCCTGTGGGAATCTTTCTTTGCGGAGTCTTATCATGACCAGATCGGCGGGGGAAAAAATTTGTGTCGCCTATGATGATTAGCATCCAATTTGTACTGCTCATTGGAAGCAATAAGTTTGCGTCTAACCTCATATAGTATGGATTGTTGTTGATTGGAAAAGTGGGCAGCAGGTGTATTTTTACACTTAGGTAAAATTGCAACATCTAGTGTATGGTTGGGCGGTCTAGTTTAGACAATACTGAATTGGAATCTTCCTGTGGACCGATTAGTCATAGAATTACATGCAAATTCTGCTTTACTAAGTACATTATCCCAAGTTTCAAGATGATTTTGCTCTTAACAACGCAACATGTTCCGAAGGGTATGATGTACTACCTCCGTTTGTTCATCAGCTTGAGGGTGATAAGCGGATCTTAAGTTAATATATGTGTAAAAACTCTTCCAATTCTTGCCAAAAGTGGCTGATAAATTTGATGTCATGATCGGAGTTGAGGCTGTGAGGTACCATATGAAGGCAAACAATCTCATGAAAGAACAGACGAGCAACATGAAGAACATCAAATGTTTTTTTTGAAAGCAATAAAATGAGCCATTTTAGAAAATTGTCTACTACAATCATAATAGAATCATCTCCTTTTTTTGTTATAGGTAAGCCAAATACAAAGTCCCAGGTTAAATCTTCCCACATAGAATTCGACGTTGGTAGTGGTGTATAGAGCCCGATGTTTTGATTATTACCTTTGAATTCCTGGCATATTGAACACTGTTCAATATAACGAGCAACATCCCGCTGGAGAAAAGGCCAGAAAAATGTTCTTTCAGCTTTAAGAGAATTTCATCATGGCCCAAGTGAGCTGCATGACTCCCATCATGTGTTGCTTTTACCAATTGCTGTCTCGAAGAGGATTTTACAACACACAAAGCATTGCCCTTGAAAAAAAAACCATGACGAATGGAATAGTCAGCTGCAGGCTTTGCTGCCAAACAGTTTTTCCATATTTCAGAGAAGTTCTTGTTGGATGAATAGGGCTCCTTAGGGCATTCAAGTCCTGTTATTTCAGTTTGCAGCTGAACTAGTAAGGTAGGTATTCGACTTAGCATGTTGGCGACTTGATTTTGCGAACCTGAATTATGTTGCAAATAGGGGTGTCAATTCGGGTCAACGGGTCGGGTTCGGGTCGAACCCGAAACTGACCCGGCACTGTTCGGGTCAACCCGAACCTGACCCGTTTTTAAAAACGGGTCAGGTTTCCGGACCCGAACCCGACCCGACACGAATGACCCGGAATTGCTAGTTTTCGGGTAAAACATTGGGTCAATCTTCGTTTTTCGGGTCAAAATCGGGTCAAACTCGGATTTTCGGGTCAAATATGAGTTTTCGTGTCAATTTCGTATTTCTGTGTCAACCCGAACCCGACCCGATTTTTAAAACGGGTTGATTTCTTCAACCCGAACCCGACCCGTTTCGGGTTTGGGTTGACCCGAACCCGGATTTTTTCGGGTCGGGTTCGGGTCGTGTTTCGTGTCGTGTCAAAAATTGACACCCCTAGTTGCAAAACAAAAGTGAATTTATGCAAATAGAGGATTCCTCTTGCATGCATTCTATTAATGTTTTTCTGATTGTTTATAAACTGAAATGCATAATGATCACTAGACAAGGCAAAATCTTGGTGCAACAGGAAGTGCTCCCAATGTTTCAATGCACAAACAATGGCGTATAATTCTTGCTCATAGACGATCCATTTATGATGGGGCAGACTTAACTTCTCGTTGAAATATTCCATAGGACGGTCTTGCTTAGATAAAGCCACTCCAATTCCAATGGCAGATGCATCGGTTTAAACTTGAAATTGTTTCTGAAAAGTAGGGAAAGCAAGGACTGGAGATGAACTTAAGGCAAGTTTGATTGTTTCAAAACTTCTCTGCTTCTCTGTAGACCACTCAAGGGTTTTGGATTTCAAGCAATCAGTTAAAAGTGCCATTAAGACGCTAAATTCCCGAATAAATCATCTATAAAAGTTTGCAAGGCCATGAAAACTCCGAACGTCAGAAAGAGAGCTAGGCATGAGCCATTCCATATTAGTAGAAACCTTCTTCGGGTCAACTTGCACATCTTTGACATAGATAATGAAACCCAAAAAATAGATATTAGTTACAGTAAACTCACACTTAGCAAGGTGTATATATAATTTATGAGTCCGAAATATCTTAAAATTTTTTGCCAGATGTAGAATGTGACGACACAAGATTTTTCTAGAAAAAGTTTGAACACCTCGTTCATGAGCCACTTGAAAGTTAAGGGTATGTTGCAAAGTCTAAAAGACAGCGCCTTCCACTCATAAAACCCTTGATGATTTTGTATGCAATTTTCCATTGAGCATCATGCCTAATGCGAATTTGATGATATCTGCTATGCAGATCCAACTTGGAGAAGGCAACTTGACCAATCTGTTTATCTAACAGATCCTCAATTTGTGGTACGGGGAAATAATATTTGATTGTGATTTTATTTATGGCTCTACTGCTGATACACATGCGACGCTTCCCATCCTTATTTGGAGCCAATAAGGCAGGTATAACACACGGGCTCAAACTTTGTTGGATTAACTTTTTCTGTAATAATTCATCCATTAATTCCTGTAAAATACCATGTCCTTTTGGGCTTAGTTTTTAATTTTGTAAATTGGTTAGATATGCTCCCAACGTGAAGTCAATGCGATGCTGTAAAGCACAAAGAGGTGGTAATTGGGAAGGTAGTTCTTCTGGACCAATATCCTTGTATTGATTCAATATGTTTTGGACCTGCTTCGGTGGTTTGAAGGAGTAGTTGGGCACTGTTCGTTCCATGACTAGCAAATCAAATTTTTTTTTTGAAGTCCTGCCCTGCACCTACTAGCTCTATTCCTGAGACAAGTTGAAGTGCTGTCTTGTTCTTTTGTCCCTTTGTTGAGAGCTTATTTGCATTAGATAGTAACCTCAGCTTGTTACCTTTCCATTCAAAATAATAGGTATTCTATTGAAAATTATATAGAGCTCCTGTGTCGAACTTCCTGGGTCGACCAAGGATGATATGACAAACATCAATATCAATTACATCATACAAGATATCACACGTAATGATTGCCAATAGAAAATGTAACTCGACCCATTTTAGAGACCGAAATGCTTATGCCTCTCTTGATCCAACTGATTTTATATGGTTGTGTAGTTTTAGTGGTTTTTAATTGCAGAGCTTGGACAAGAGATTGAGAGACTACATTGTCAGTACATCCTTTATCAATTAATAAATCACAGGCTTTCCCATAGACAATATAACAAGTGTGAAAGATAGCATTTCGTTGAGAATTGAAAGTCTATCGAGGTGCCAAGAGAACGTTTTCTAGGATACAGATCACAATTTCCCATTCATCAGCTATTATGTCCTTTGTTTCAGTTTCCTCATGCTGTGATAAGTTGCCCTTGGCTTCACTTTCAATAATATGCAATTGTTGGCAACTTGGGCACTCATTTTGATTTATGCCCAGTTTGGAAACAACGAAGCACTTTAAATTGGAAGGTTTGACTTATGGATTCTCTTGGACATGAGCCTTTTGTTTGGTAGGTACTTTCACTTCAATTGGAGGGCCATTGCTTGGCCCAGGTGGGTTATTGGCTGTATTATGCTTGCCTACAGAAATTGATTGAGTTTTAGCTTCAGTCGCCAATTCTCGATATTGTTGTCGAGATGAGTAGCTTCTAGAGTGTCTGTTGAGTTGTAATTTAGCCTTGAGAGCAAAGTTGACAGCATGTGATAATGACCAAATAGAGTTCAGTTCTAGTTTATCTTGAATTATTCTTTCAGCCCACCAATATATCGAGTTACCAATTGATTGCTGGTTTTATTAAGATTGTTTCATGCACTCAACCTATAAAATTCCTTAGTGCATTCACTGACTGTGCGGCCCCCTTGTGAACAGTGTTGATACTTCATATAGAGCATTTGCTCATAATTAGTGGGTAAAAATGTCCTCGGAGTAACTATTTCATGCGATACCAATTGCGAACAGCTCCTCTTCCTTCACGTCTACGAGTTTGCAACAGCTGCAACCAAGCACTAGCACTGCCTTTAGCTTTGTATGCCACGTACTTCACTTGCTTCTTTGGTGCAATCTCCTTGTATTAAAAAAAAAAGGCCTCTATTGCTTGCTCCCAATCGATGTAATCTTCAATATGTAATCTACCACCAAAATATGGAATGTAGAGTTTGATGCGAAACTCACTCTGGTTTATGTACGATCGGTCGTGTGGTCCGAGGGCTGTGTCATGGACGACATGGTCAACATCCTCTGAATAAGAGCATTCGAAATGGAGTAGTGGACCTTCGAGTCAGAAACATCTGGTATTGATGTTTGGTGTCTCATTGGCACGCTAGCACTGAAGTTGAGCTGTCGAATTACGGTGGGATGACTTGGAGCAGGTCGCCTATGCATTGGATTGATGACGACACCTGTTCGGAACATCTGTAACTCTTGTCTCACTTCTACAGCGAACCAATGAAATTTTGATGAAAATCCTTCTAGCTGCTTGACAACGTTTGATTGTGCTGCCCACAACGCCTCTAAGCTCTGATATTTGTCAAGAGCCGTCTGCTGATTCCCTTGGGCCATTTCTCCTTGTTGAGGCTTTGATATCACTATGGTGTAGTAGCACCAAACAACAAGAGCTAACTGGAAAATGGAAAAAGAAAAACATAGATAACCAGTAGAAAGAATGTATAATTCTATTTGAATTCTATCATCTTTAACTTCTTCCTTCTTCTTCCTCGCTATATGTATTCCTGTATTACCCTTTTACTATATCAGTTCATACTATGAGAAAGTTAGAATGTACTAAGGTAACTGGAAAAGGACATAAAATTGTAATGGAAACTAGTGGGAATAACAGAAAGATAATTTTAGCGGTGTAATGTCTTTCTCTCCTTATAATGCTTCATATAATGACCTGCATCTTTTTTTTTTTTTAAAAATTTTATTATCATTATGCATATTATATCAAACTTGTGAACTTTTTATATCCCTCTACCCCTGAGTTTTCAGTAGTCATGTTGGTTCCACCGCATTTGTCTATGTCAAATATGATTTATTAACATCAACAAGAAGAAATCATTTTAATATGTTTTATGCCATTCAGGCCTTTTTTTCTTGATTTGTCAATGAAAATTGTGTTTTGTTTGCATTTTTCTATCCATAATTGGAATTGTTCTGGTTTTGATGGAGTGTTTTTTTAACTTCTATTGTCATTCATATGATAATTATGACACTCTTTTCTAGCACATAGTTTAAGTGCTTGATGCATGCGTATTGCGTGTGCTCAGTTTTGTGTATGTTCTTCTCAATATTGGTTTTCTCTCTTTTTTTCTTGCAACTGCCTATTTAATTTTATTCTGACATTAAAAATCTTGAAGCACTGAATGATGAACTTTTTAACTTTTTTTTTCTTTTTGTCCTGACAATTACAAGTGCAGTGTGGGCTTATAGAGCAATTTAGCTATTTATTTTTTCGATTTATTTTCCTTGCCTTGTATCTATGGTTTCTTTTGTTTTTTGTTTATTTCTTCATTCTTTTAACGGAGCAGATAGCGGAATATCAGTTCTTCTGTTCAATATGAAATCTTAATTCTAATTTTTTTGCTACCTTCAGATAATGTGATGGAGCACCCTTCACAAGACTCGGTGGCATCAGGTATATTCACATAGAATCGGATTCTTTTTATCAATTTGCCATTCTTTTCTGATTCATCCTAAGCCTGATATCTAAACACCTCATCAGTGAAAACTACTCAGAAGTTTGAAAAGAGTCCATGGGGATTTATGTCCAAGCTTGATTCACATCAAGGATCAAATGATGCTAGTCTCTTTTCATGCTCATTGCCAGCTCGTCCATGTGAAGGATGTATGTTGGTTTCCTTAGTAACCTCAGTGTTTATTTTCCATTCCATGAAATTTTACATAATTAAGGAGTTTTAATTAGTCATTAGTTTATTCAGTTAACATTATGGATTCCGGAGTGGGAGCTTGCTCTATGGATGAGGTTTCATCTAAATTGGATGAGCTTGTTAAAGACATTGAGCTCAAGGATTATAGTGGCATTCAAGGAATTGAAAAATTTTTACCCGACGAGGATGAACTTTTTGATAGCATAATGAATAGTTCACACCAAACAGAATTGCTCGGCCATGTAGAGCAAGGGGAAGATTGTGACCTGTTTAGCAGTGGAGGTGGCATTGAGATGGACGCTGATCCTATAGATAATGTTGTTGTTGGCATGGCTAGGACAAATATTGCTGATGACTACTTGGGGAATATAAATTTTCAGTATAGTCTTCCAAATGGCATTGGAACAATTGCTGGGGAACACCCTTATGGAGAACATCCTTCAAGAACATTGTTTGTACGAAACATCAACAGTAATGTCGAAGATTCAGAGTTGAGATCTCTTTTCGAGGTGAGTTAATCTAGGTGCAATCTTGTTTTGATAGTTCTGTTGCAATGTTTCAATAAACTGTTGTTGAATTTTTCTTTTTGAATTTTATACTTGGCTATCCTTGCATCAATTATTCTCTTCCTATTGTCAATAGTGTTTCTCGCTTCAGGGATGGCATTGTTTCTTATTAGTTCGAACATTCATATTTCATTGTCACATAAGTACGGTTATTTCTTACTCATTAAATGCTGATTGCTCATAGGTTGGAGGCTATATTTAATTTGACGGTATGTGGGTGCTATTTTACTAGCTTAGGCCTTTGTATTTACATTATCAACATTTTACCTTCTTATGTCACTTATGATACATTTAGTCCCTTTGATTTGCAAATCTTTCTTAAATTGGAAACTAAAGAAGATTTTAAATATAATAATAATCTACTTTATGACATGTGTATGACATCTTTTTGCGTGCACAATTTGGTAGAAAAATTGGCAATGGTGGACTAACTATTATATATTTAAAGCAGCATCATGTTTATAGCATATCCCATTGATTGGAAGGATGTCTCATGTTGGCACTTTTAATGGTTTCATCTATACAATGGACAAAAGAAAAAAGGAATTATCATTTTGTTATACATATGTTTTTTCTATGTTTAGGATATGCACTTTGGTCACAACAGCTTTCTTGGCATCATGCACAATTCTTTAGGTGCACTTGCTGATATTTGTTGTTTGCTTATATTAAGAAAGTTAGTGGTAGCCTTAAAAAGAATTGGTTAAAAATATTAGAAATGATCTTTTTTTATTAGATTTAAATTAGAATTGGATTCTCAATAAGACACAATGGAGAAAAATGATTCAGGTAGCCGACCCCACGTAGTGGATAAAGGCTTGATGATGTTGTTGTTGTTGTAGTGAAGTGACTAAATGAATAACGGAGGTGACAATACTATGGGTAATGATGGCATTAATACATAAGGCAATGGAAGCAAGTGCTGATAACATGAATGAGTGTAGGTCTTCGGTGGTAATAGTGGGAATAGCATGGAAAATAGCCCAATTACATAAGGCAGTGATAGTAACATAGCAAAAGAGGAATGAGACAAAGATGGCGAGAAAGCTACAATAGTGCAGGCAGGAACATTGAACAACAATTGGTTGTGTGGTGGCCAGAAGGAGATATCAACAACATGGTGAAGGAATTGAAGTGAGGAATAATTAATGATTGCTTTTCCATGATGATTCAAGACTCAATGGGTACTGATTGGAATTCTGTGGGTTGATTTGAAACTATGCAAGATTGAGTTAGGCCAAACGGATGATTCAAAATATTAGAGAACATGTGTGTTTGTATGAGAGTTGATATTAAAGGCATGTTTTTGCACTTGAAATAAAATAAGAAATAAAAAAAAAATCAATACGCATGAATTGCATTCCTAAAAATTATAGAATTTTAGATTTGCATCGTTCCACTTAGCTTGGAAAAAGCTTGCTCTGATGAATTAATAATTTGATATCTGCCATGCAAATTAGGGCAAATTGTTGTGCTCTTGTAAGCTAATTAATGAAGAAGTTTGTCATCTTAATGGCACTTGAAACCCGTGGTTTCCACCATTAGTAGTTGACATTATTCTTGCCTACAAGTTAGTTTTTGAAACAGACAAGTAGATCCATCAATTAAGGTGTTAGATGCTAATTCTCAATTAGGGAGGAGATTTAAAGAGATTGGCTACAAGTTCATGAAATTCATTCAAATTAAATACATTAGAAAGAGTATTTTCAAGAATTTTTAAGTTTGCAAGTGTTAGTGCAATAAATTGCATAATTATATATGGACCTACATTTCTTGTAATAAAAAATTTTAAGCTCTTGTTGAAACCTTTTGAGATTTAGGTGCACCATTATCTTATCTTCTTGCTTAAATTCCACATGTTTACATTTGCAACATGAGAAAAGGACTAAAATAGTCCCTCAACTCCTTATGAGGGATCAAAGTGGTCCCCAACTCTTTTGAGGGACCAAATTGGTCCCTCAACTCTTTGAAACGGTACCTGAGTTTTTAAAGATTTATTTTTTTTATCCGTTAATTTGGAAAATATCTTAAGGTTACGCCTCCCATCAAATGTAGGCATGTAATTTTGATCCTTCCGATAGTTACATTGTATTTGTTTAAAACCATAACTTGATTCTGCTTAAAACTCATATTGTTAATTTTTTTTAATTGAACTTATTATTATGCTTATTTTAGTTGGCATGATGATGTAATCTAAGGTTGACTTATTTTGTGTAGTATAGTTAGGGGTATAGCTTTCTAATACAATATAGGATGAAATTTCATATGACAACTCACAAAATTATAATTTGTAGGTTACCAACTTGTCACTTCAGCAAAGAACTTATTGCTTTTAATGTATGGGCAACAAATAAATTTCTTTCATCCAAATGATAATTCAAGATTCACCTAAACTCTGAAATTTCAACAGAATAAGAAAAACAGTAGTGAACATAAAATTTCAGCAAAAATCAATTTCACTCATAAAAAAGTGAACATGATGCACATCTCTCCTGACAATGTTTCAATTACATGTGGAGAATCAATGACCAAACAATTTAAAAAAAGCAAGATCAATCATATAAAACTACTCAAAAGGAAGGACTAATGCAGATGTAAGGAGTCTTCTCTTGGCAGTAGTCGTCCATACATGTAAAGTTGATGCAGGACCAATTAGGTGCGATGATTATGTAGTCATTTAGGCATTGCACAACTAATAGATTAGAATAATTTAGGGACAAAATTACAAGCAATTTTCAAACGACAATTAGAACAAATGAGTGGATCAATTGCGTAGGCTAAATTACATGCGCCAAATTTTGAACATTCAAGAATAATTAAGAAAATAATAACAACACAGAATAGTAGCTTTCAATGTAATCCCTAATCTAACAATGAGATCTAGGATGCATAGAAAGCGCACTCAATTCCTATGATTCACTAGGCTTAGCAAGAGCATTTGGAGTAGGCTTTCGCGAATACAATCTAACCAAACGAGAACTTAGATTTAGAAGACTTTGAATGCAAGTGTAAGAAGGAAAAACCTTTGCTCAAGGAGACGTGGCGATCCTCCACGATAACAACTACTCATGACGAATATCCAAGGTCCAAGAACGATGTCCTCGCCATAGGATGCTTGTAGAAGCAATCCAAGTCCTTTCAAAATCTAAGAACGTTCTCAGATTTTCTAGCCAAAATCTGAGAAGAAAATTCTCCGATTTTCTAAATGTGAGAGTGGAACTATTTGGGAATTGTTTAAGCCAAGATTTCACTATAGGGCTTCATGAGAGGGGAGAAGTTGGAAGGTGGAGGGAGGCGGCAAGAAAGAAAAGAAAACGCAATGGGAAAACAGGGAGGGAGGCAACGTGAAGAGCAGATGACGGGTTGAGAGGATGGCGGGTGGAGTTAGGGAGAGGATTTGTTTCCTTAAGCAAGTTCTGGATTTAGGAAACAAAATAATAGATTAAGGCTGAGGAAATTTCGGCTAGGAGGGTGGTTGGAATATTTGAAATTATTTCCCAAAGATGGTCTCTGGCTTAGGAAACAATTTGAAAACATTAAAAGGCCAAGAGAGAGGGCCGGTGGCAATCAAGGGAGAGAGGAGGGAATTTAGGAGAGTTTCAAAAAAAAAAGCTTCCTAATTTAAATTCGTAAGATTGGAAAGTTTTGATTTGATCCTCTCTTAATGAAAATTTAAATAGGAGCTCATTAATGGACTTTCCTAAAATAGAATTAGTATATTAGGAAGTATTTTGAATTTCAAATATTTTAAATTTGAAGTCAAATATATTCCAAAATAGACTAAATTAAAATAGGAAACAAATAAAAAAAAAAAGGGGGGAAAGGGAGGTGGTCGGCGGCAAGGAAGACAAGGCCGGCGGTTTGGAATCCAAGGCCGGCGGTATGGGGGCTCAGGTGGAGGTGTGGCCGAGGGTGTTGGATGGGGAAATTGTGGAGGGGAAAATTCAGGTGCGAGGAAATCCGGCGGCTAGATGAGGAGGGAGGAGATATGGGAGAAACAACGGGAAGAGAGGGGAACGAGATAAACGAGGAAGCCACGAACCCGACTTATCTAGGTTGGTGGGTAATGCGCCAAACTTCTTCCTCTCCTAGGAAGCTCTCTCCATTAGAACTCTCAAGCTCTCAATGCTCATACAAGAAGGAATTTTCATAAGCAATCATTCATCCCATAATAGAATAAAATGGGGCTTTAAATAGCCTCCTACAACATGACTCGAAACAAAAGACACAAACGCCCTTTGGGCTCACATACGATAACTCCCACAAGAGGGGTACAACGGGAAAGAAAGCACATAAGCAACTAAATAAAATAAAATAAAAATACAATGACTCATAAATGCCACCTAAGCAAATAACAAGCTACATAAAAATGAAATACATCAACGACTCAAAA